GTTATCAAAAGGAGGAAAAGTTAATAAATTAGCGCAGAAACTGATATACATAATGGTCGAGTTAAATGCTTCATGTGAGATAAATATTCTGTCAGGTTTATGCCTCATTCATATTCATTGTCTGTTCATGGTTGAGCAATCCTGCAAAATTAAATTTGTTTATAATTTCCTGTTACTATGTTTCTTTTGACTGGTATACCACGTTTTCTTTGTTCCAAAAGGTCGACTTCCTCAAAGCAGCTGATCAACAATTCTTTTGATAGTTAGAATGTAAGTTGACGAAAAAAGTTTTTTCCTGCAATTTGATTGGTTGTAAACGGTCACTTGATACTGAACTACTTTTTTTCCCAATTGCTATGCAATTTGATGTGAAGTTTTAACTATATCAACCCATTACGCCCTAATAATGATAACAACAAAAACCCACCCATCCAATCCTGTGATTTCCAAACAAAATTTACAAACCACTGAAACAAATGAATTATTTTGAGTAAAAACAATGTAATTACACAGACCTTACTGTATTCCACCTCTCATTCTTTTCGCCGACGAAGGCATGTGGTAGGCTTTAAAAGTCAGTCGTCAGAAATTATTACATTTCACTTCGGCAACGTGTTACAACAGCAGTTATTAAAGGTCATGGTCAATGTCAGACAAGGATCTTACTAAAAATGGACATGATTTTGCTTTTTGAAAGATCCAAATGAGTAAAAAGTAACAACAAACGTTGCAAACAACTTCACATTACATACATCACTCTCTCAAACGCACATAATAACTGGTGAGCGCCACCTGTGGGTTTAACGCCATTTTCATCACATGATAGACTATATAAAGTAGCCAATGTATATGTTGGTGAATGAACCCTGGATGACATCAAGAAGAACTACCAATTCACGGAAAATTACTGACAAGTGTCTCATATAATCACGTTGGCTGAGACCGAGAATTGAACCCACGTGACGTCAGTGATCTATAAGTGGCACTCACCAGTTATAATATACTTTTGAGAGAGTGAAGTTGTTTGCATTTTAAACATGCACAATGGAGAGAATGTTGACATACGTATATGCTGCTTTCATGTAATGTGGCTTAAATTTCTTTAGATATTGTACTTTTGGAAATTTTGAATGATCTTAGCACACTGCTAACTAAAATAACTGCTCCTTTGTGCTCCTAATATCAACCTGAATTTGTCTAAAGTACACTATCATTGGCAGCTATTAAAATAGGGAAAATGAATTTACTAAACTAAATAATACAAGCTTCTAAAATTGCAATGAATGAATTACCAAATACATAAAATGTAACAAAAAATTTATCGGCTCTTTATTTCAGAATTTACTTTTGAAGTTCGGGAAGTGAAAATGAGCAAGTAGAGCTAGCACTCATTTGAAAGGTGCACATCTAGAGTAAGGTCAAGCTGCACACTCTCTACCCATATGACACCCATCAATCATACACCGAAATAATAGGAATTAAAGGTTCTTTGAACAATACCTAAGATATACAAAGTCTTTTTAAATAGCCAGTATAACTAGTGAGGAAACCTCGGGAAATTCTTTTTCTTAAAAGTTATAACCCTATGCTAAATACGAAACTGTAGAGCGCCACCATAAAGACTAACGCCTTTACCATGGGCCATCCGGGTATTCGCAAAGAAGTTAACTGTCAATAAGTAAATAAATCAATTTGTAGCATACATTTCAGGAATGTTTCCAATTTTTTTGGTTATTATCAATATCAAATACAAATGTATTTTCAATTTAGAAAGTTTGATAGCCATGAAGGTACAGGTAGGCGTGTACTATAACTGTCAGGCAAAGACGGGGTTGACTGGAAAGAGACTAATATGACAGACTCCATTACGTGACATCGTTGTGTTTACCACGTGCATTGCACACTAGGCCCAGAGAACTGTAACGCTTGTTGCATCTTGCTTATTTATAATGCAATAGCTCAATACTATCTCTATGTCGTGATATATTAAGCGTAAAATTAAATAATAAAATGACTATTTTTAACGCAAAAAATACATTTTTGAATAAAACAAATTGGTCCTAAATATTTAAGTTACAGTTTTTTAAGTTACTAATTTACAACGTTTCACTTATTACGCTACGCCCACCCATTCTCTTTAACCTATTTTGTATTACCATTAGCCCTTAAGCAATTTGTTACACCTGGTTTACCTTGGGGCAGGTCAGAGCTGTGTCGGGCCCTTGCGGCCAAACAAACTGCTGTTCTTCGCGGTCATCTGCGGCCAATAAACAATTGATTAAAGTTATGGACAGGTGGTCAACATTGTCGACTACATGGCGGACGTAATTGTGAGAATCGCGGTTGTGAGGATGCTCGCGATCCCGGCTTCTACCTCACTTGCTGTTTCCTTGGAAAATGGGCGCGTCATTTGTGTGCAGGTTCTTCTCGCTGGCAGGGGGCAGAACATTTTAACAATGGTTAAACAATTGATGCCACCACTATATTTGCAATTGTTTCTCTTTTTGTCAAGTTTTGTTTACTATTAATCGTGAATTTATTTATTATTATATAAACTTAATGCGTGATTAATGCAATGAGAGCTAATAAAAGAAAAGTTAAATAAAACGGGTTATGAATTGTTTATTACATTTGTGATGAGGATTAGTGCGGTAGCAATAAAAACAATAGACGATGATTAAGAACTTTGTTAATGAAAGACGATTACATGCCGAAGGAATTTGTAAAAGAGATGAACCTAATTAACTGCGTTCTTTGATTAAGGAATTGAAAAAATGCACGATCTATTAGCGGTTTGAATCGCTTTTGCTGGCGATGTTCAGAGGTCTTGCACAACAAAAGACTATGCAAAAACCATTTTTGCTGCTACACTGACTAGTAATTAATTTATTTATATAAAATGAATTGTGCACTTAAGATTTGTAACCATGGCAATCACAACAGGTCATTCTCAGACTAAGTATTTCAGTGGATATTGGAGTGATTGAGCAACTTTGCCACCGTGTTCGTGTAGTTGCAGCGTAGAAAACTTACTGAAACATGAATATGTGCTGGATATAATATCCTTTACTAAGGTAAGTAACTATTAATACTCTTGTCTATTTAATCAACCATGATTAATCCACTTTTAAATTAACATGGATTGAACATTGCAACACTGTTGACCAACACTTAAAATTAGGAAAAAAATTACTGCAGAAACAACCACTATTTATTACATTTCACGTGATAAAGAAGTAACGTTCAATATTCAGTTTCGCCATAACGTTTAACTTATACCTTGTAATTTCTTTTGCCGGTTAATGCGAAATGCCTTACCACATAACTGCTTGTTTGTCAGGATTGTATTGAAAAATAATAATGTTTGGCCACCGTATATAGTCTATCATGTGTTGCAAAATGGCGTTAAACCAACAGGTGGCCGTCATCAGTAAAATTATATATGGGTATCATGACTGATTCATTAAGTCTCCAGTCCATTTTTTATTGAATGATTTATATTTATTGATTCTTTTGTATTGATTTTCTTTTATACAAACCTTGTTTATTTTAATACTGTTACAAAACAGTATTAAAATAAACAAGGTTTGTATAAAAGAAAATAAGTTATGACACATACATGACAAACGAAAACGAGTTCAGCAGTAAATAACCATGGAAAAATTGTGTCAGATTGGATCTTTGATAATATCACTTTATTTCATTTTATTTTTTAAAAAATTTATTATGCTTTGAATTTTATGTATTAATGTTTGATTTAAAGATTTTCATTTTCTTATTTATTGTCAAAGAAATTAGGGTTTAATCTGAAATAATGTTCTATGTTTAAATGGATTTTGTTGTTAATACCTGACACGCTTTGATTGAGTTACCACAAAGGCGATTATCACACCTTCGAAGTTAATATATCAATGATTGACTTTAGGTAAGTTGCCACAAGTACATGACTATCTGAATCAAAATTAAGTAACTAATTTATTACGAATTTCTTTTGTTTACGAACACGAATCTGAATAGTTGATTGCATTATTGTATTAAATCAAAGAAGACGTGTTTCCATGCTGTATGCATTGTGTGTATTTTTGTCTACTGTTTCCGAAAATATATTACAACCGCTGGATAAGCGAGAAAAGTCAAAGTAATATGTAATATGATATTTCAAATGTTTTATATATCAAATATCAATTTTCAATGATCAATTTTTTTCTATCTTTAAAATTATATCTTCTTCTTGAAAAGATCAACGCTTTTATTACTTTATTTCAAATGCAAACATATAAATTATGCACCTGTTGCTCGATTTAAAACTGAAACTCGGCTCTGCACTATAGCATAGCAATGGTTGGTCTCAGCCCTGATCTACCTCTTTACAAGTTGATATGTTGCCGATGACGACTTTCAACCGCTCCCTTTTTTGACATGGTTCAGTAAAGAAAAACACATCGTTGTTTCTGTTTAAAAGTAAAGAAGCTATTTTTGAGGCTTTTGGTATCTTGTCGGACTCAAAAGTGGCTGAATTCATGGACGACGAAAATGGGACATCCGGTAAAATGGTAAACGTATTATCAAATTTATCACAACTTGAAATTCCAGAAACCTTAGATTTAAAAATTGCAGGCTTGCGCCTGAACAAACAGCATGCATAGCCTACAGATCACATTAATCAAGCACCGAACTAAGAGGTTAGGTGGCTATTCAGAGATGTTTTCGTTGCAAGGAGAAAATGTCACAGCTGAGTTAGTCATCTTTGTATACCAACGCCCTGTCTTTATCTAACCACTTTTCTTCAACCGTAATCCATTTACAGGGGATGAGTCGGCAGAAACGGATTATCAGCGGGGTTTATAGATACAGGTAGAAAACCTTTATGACTTCCAGCTCTATGATATTGATATAGGAAATCAGTTTTAGGACGCTTCAAACATTTATGCATACATATGTAATCAATATAAAACTTATGCAAAGGAATATGAGAATCACTGTATCATTATATGACCGCTTAGGTGGCCTAGTGGTTAGAGAGTCTGCCTCAGGTGCGGAAGGTTGCGGGTTTGAACCCCTGCCGTGTCATATCAAAGACTTATAAAAATGGTACCAGCAGCACCGAAATAGATTATTTTCTCACCCAGTTGTTTCCAACTAAATTAAATAATCATACACCTTTGGAATTTAGTTATTAGATTTAAACGCAGTATTCATGGGACTAATATCGCTTCTCAACCTATACAAAGGTCATCATGTATTTTACTATTTTATGAAAATTTGAATAATTATATAAGAATATATATATATATATATATATATATATATATATATATATATATATATATATATATATATATATATATATGCCGCTCTCAGAAAAAAAAAACAATCTAGAAAAAGCAATGTAATTGTTATGTGTTGCAAGTATTTCGCAATGAGCTTTTCTTGAGCTACGTGCTTTTTATTTATCCCAATACTGCGCATTAAGGCGAATGTGCAAATGAGGACAATGGGGTGACATATTGACACAAGAAATATAGTCATTTGATATTACTGCTGCATTAGTACATTTAATTAATGAAAATTTAATTATGTGAAATTTACAATAAATAATTAATATCGTTTATACGGTTAAGTTTTAGCATTCATTAGTTCTAATTTGGAAACGGTATGATGCTGTGCAACACAATAATCCTACTGTGTACAGTTACAAGGTAGTTTGTAGTGACATCAGCTAATAACTAATTCATTTTTTTTTCTTAGAAATTTATATTTTCTGTCCTGAAAATATGGCAACTGTGTTATCACTAGTGTATGAAGATCTTTGTGGAATAGCATGTGTACTGATGAATGAAAGACTGGTTGGTAAATGCAGGAGTTTTCATTTGCAATCGCATTATTATAGTGGATTCAACTGGGGCAGATTGTGGTTGTTCGACAAAGTTAGAAAAAATCAGTTTGGTGAGACACATTTTTTGTTTTTGCCGGCTACTCAAGTCATGAGCCTTAGCTGACCAGGCCGACTGCTCTTTTGAGCAGCTCCGTTTCGTACAGGTCACCGATCAAAAGCAATGCCTTCCTCGCTATTCGCCGTAGGCTGTCCATGACGGTATCCCGTAGACCCCTCGCATATCTAATTAGTCTGCAATAGTACTAAGACAGCTAGATGCCTACTTAGACCTACCCTCCTCCCACATCCATCAACCCATCAATGCCACGCGGCGTCTAGTAGAAACGTTACAGCTCCGTGACTGACTTCGTGTAAAGGACAGCAATGTGTACCAAATGAAGCTTCCCAAACGTTGGTCCTAGCATAACGTGATGTATGGTTGGGACAACTCAGCTTTTTACTACAATTTCCAATGAGTAATTGAATATTTGTATCTGTATTTCAGCAAAAACTGTACCCAGTACACAGCAAAATTTCAAGAGGTTATCTCACACTCGATCAGTAATTATACACACACCCCATACGAGTATATTCTGTAAAGTCAGGCATGGCTATTATTTAGCATGATTTGAAAACAACACTGTACTCAATCAAGGATTTGTATATAATTTTCGTGTACTTTGTTTAGAAGAACGTTTATGCTCAAACCACAAACAATAAACATGAATGTCATCATGTCGTTTGATAAAAGGTCTATACACCAAATGAACGGGTACAGTAAGGTATTTTTGAAGACAATTTGTGTTCCGATTAAAGGCTATTATATAAATTATTGTATTCATTTTCTTCACGTTTTTCTTTTAGTCACTCGCCACACATTTTCGACTTGATCGAGGCAGAATTCTCAACTCATTATGCAATAATGTAAAAACGTTAAAATAGAAGTGAACATAAACTTGGGTGAGTAAGAATTATGTGAAAGGAAAAAAAAAACAATGTTCGTGTTGCGAGTTAAAATGTATTGCCTTCCCTTTCGACATCAGAACCAGCTGTCCTGTATAGTTAATGCATTCGTGCATATTCATTTATATGAATTCATTTATTCATTCATTTATCATACTTTCTTTAAGATTGAAAACAATTTCACAAATGAAATTAGCAGACATTTTTTAAAGAGTTCTGATCTAACCAATGGCCGCCTCCTGATGATTCTTCAAAATAATCGGCAATGTTAGCGGACATCATTGGAGATTTAATACCTCGCGAGGACTAGCTGCATATTTACAAAAGAATATTAATTGCATTACAACACAGAGTGATGAACAATGTAGCGAGCTTACTTGTGTAAGAAATCTTGACAATATGATAGAATTATGTTATCAAATGAATACTGCGAAACCTAAGATTATATATATATATATATATATATATATATATATATATATATATATATATATATATATATATATATATATATATATATATATATATATATATATATTCACACAAACATAAATTGGACACATATTAATAAGAATATTGCAAATTGGAAAGACAATGAGGGAATGGAAGAAGCGTATAACTCGAGCATAATTACTGTGCAATGAAACTCATCGCAAAAAGATACCAGGTTGATTTTTTTTGAAGATGCGATAACAATATTAAACAATAAAAACGATTATCTATCAAATTTAGATGGAATATACTTTCTTGCATTTTAGTAATGTCATTCCAAAACATAAAGGCATTCATATTTTAAATTGTTGTGGAAGTTACATAATCTGTCTCTTATTAAGGGATAAGTTTTAAGTTTATTCTTAGTAGACGTGAAAAACCATGTCAGCGCGACAAGTAAATTGTCTACACCAACCACAGTTAAGTGTCCACGCGAGGATTTTATGTGCCTGGAGCAAAACTTTCTACTGTCTCCTACAGAATTTTTTTTATGTCGGCTATCAATATCCCTCCTCCCACTCGCTCACTCTGTTTCGTGAAAAACTGGATTCGTTGAAGTAGGTTAAAATGTATGAAACTTCCAGGTACAAAAATTGTCTCCTTGGCACCCCATTCGCCTGGCGCTATGGAACAAATGTATCATCTCCACCACCTCTGAACGCCACTCTAATTATTGTCTACATTCAGGCTCATCAATACGATGGCAATAATGGAACGGCCACGTGAGACTTGAACAATAATTGGACGGCCACCGATGACATGGACAAGCCGATGCTCCGCGATTAATGAACATATATTTCGTTACATCACTATGTAATAATATCAAATTGACTGCATCTTTGGTATCTTGATGTAACTAAACTTTAGAAAAACTCATAAATTTCCTACAAGGAAAATACACATCTAGCGTGTTTTTCATATCAGTTTCTTAATATCGTCTTAATTATAAGCTTGACGAGCAAATTGTTTCATCGAATTCAACAGTTTTAACAAGAACTTTATTATTCTGAGTTGCCTGGTGGACATTAATTACTTTCGATATAAGTTTTAGTAAACAAAATCAATTTAATTCGCATGAATTGTTTCTAACTACATTTTGTTATCAAACGCGAGCTATGTTATGGGCTATTGGTAATGCACAATTCAGTACAGGTGGGTGGGTGATGGTACTCAGATTGTGAAGAAAAGGCTACAGATTATGGTAATTGTGATGTTCCGTTTCTTTCAATTGATTATCCTGCAACATTTAACTGTGAATGTGTGAAAGAAAAAACTTATAATAATCAAAAAAAATTCCGAACCTTTTTGTTCGCAGACTTTGATGCAGTGTACTCATGTTCCGCTAAGTGGAATTGGTATGAAACTAACTTGGAGAAATTGAACATAGCTTACCTTTCTGTACTATACATGAGTTGTTTTTCTGAACGTCCTGTTTACAGAAAAAATGAAGCAACCTTGACAGTGATGTGATGTGATTATGATTTTTAACGTAGCTTTAAAATTTTTTTAATCATGCCGCCGACATGTAACATGTTGTCCCACCCAGTCACAATATCCTGACACCGGGCTGACCATTCCTAACACTAACATCTTAATGCTGAGCGTCAAGCGAGGTAGTTAGTTGTTAGTACCAAGTTTGTAAGTCTTTGGTATGAATCGACCGGGGATCGAATCCACGACCTCCCGCATCCGAGGCGGATGCTCTAACCACTAGGCCACCGGAAAGGTTCAACCTTAACAGTATTTCTTAAAATATGTATGAGGGCAAGTATTGTCCAAAAGCAGGTGCCTGACACTTTTTGCTTCATTTCTGCCAATATTTAGAAAAATAGGGTGGTCTGCATTATATGAAATCAGCATCATATTTTATTCATGATATTATCTGGAAAAGATAAATTTAATTTTCTTGAAAAGTGTTGATACTGAAGTTGATGCTTCTAAGTGTTGATACTGAAGTTGATGCTAGTAAGTGTTGATACTGAAGTTGATGCTAGTAAGTGTTGATACTGAAGCTGATGCAAGTAAGTGTTGATACTGAAGTTGATGCTAGTAAGTGTTGATACTGAAGTTGATGCTACTAAGTGTTGATACTGAAGTTGATGCTAGTAAGTGTTGTTACTGAAGTTGATGCTAGTAAGTGTTGATTCTGAAGTTCATGCTAGTAAGTGTTGATATTGAAGTTGATGCTAGTAAGTGTTGTTACTGAAGTTGATGCTAGTAAGTGTTGATACTGAAGTTCATGCTAGTAAGTGTTGATACTGAAGTTCATGCTAGTAAGTGTTGATACTGAAGTTCATGGTAGTAAGTGTTGATACTGAAGTTGATGCTAGTAAGTGTTGTTACTGAAGTTGATGCTAGTAAGTGTTGATTCTGAAGTTCATGCTAGTAAGTGTTGATACTGAAGTTGATGCTAGTAAGTGTTGTTACTGAAGTTGATGCTAGTAAGTGTTGATACTAAAGTTCATGCTAGTAAGTGTTGATACTGAAGTTCATGCTAGTAAGTGTTGATACTGAAGTTCATGCTAGTAAGTGTTGATACTGAAGTTCATGCTAGTAAGTGTTGATACTGAAGTTCATGCTAGTAAGTGTTGATTCTGAAGTTCATGCTAGTAAGTGTTGATACCGAAGTTCATGCTAGTAAGTGTTGATACTGAAGTTCATGCTAGTAAGTGTTGATACTGAAGTTCATGCTAGTAAGTGTTGATATTGAAGTTGATGCTAGTAAGTGTTGATACTGAAGT